TACAGTGACTAACGATAGAAACACCTTAACGACCCTAAACTGTTATTGTAAAATATGCAATTTCGTGTCAAGTGACCCAAGTCAAAAAATAATTTATGTATAAAACAGTAGTATTAATTTGAATATAATGATTCCAGCTAGCGTTTAAATACTTTAAATAAAATTTTGAGTATTTTTTTTTTTTTGTTACGGTAATGAAATACAAATAAAATTTTAGCTCAAAGTGACCATACGTAATCTAGAAACAGGACCTAAACGCGCAAATAGTCAAATTAATCTAAATAGGTTAAAAATGCAATGTTCATCAAATGAAAGCCGAAACGTACAACTTGAAAAAGTCTTTAAATCACACATCGACAGAGCGTAAAATTTTCTTTCCGCATCAAAAGTTTGGAAAATTTTATTAGTCTTTTTGGTGTAGTGACTTCACTACTTTACAGTGTACTGTATTATAAATAACAAAAAAACATTAAAATTTCTAGATTTTTTATGAATAGGATTGGAAAAAAATTAAACACGACTTATTATTTTTGAACATTGCTCTCGGAAATGCATTTATTTGCAATTTTAGATACAAAATGAATCTTAATATATACTCCATGTAACAAAAAGTAAAGTAATAATGGAAGATTTTAAAAAATGAAACAAATAATGGATCGTTAGGTGTATAAAAATATCCTCCAAGAACTTTTGCGATCATATACAGTGCTATAAATGTCAATTAATTGAAAATATTTACAGGATAATGTTGTAAATAGGCTTGCATGCCAAGAATTAACATAGTAACGGGTATTTGTTTAGGAGGAGTTTATGTCGTTGATTCACCTTTATTAAAATTCCCATTATTTTTAACAATTACTAAGAAAAAAATTCTTCAAATAAATTTTTTTACGATTTAATGATAATTTTTCTTGAGATATTTTAAAATTAAAATAAATATTAAATATCAAACATTCTCATATGCAAAAATAACTTTAGGCAAACAAGAACTTATCTTTATGATTTCTCTATGTGTAACTCTATCAAAAAACTTCCAAGTTCTCATTCTCTTAGTTTGGAAGTTACGTACGTGTGTTGGACAGCGTTGCCAATTTAGCGCTTTTGGCGCTAGATTTAGCGCCTTTTAACAATCCAAAAGTCGCATTTTTTCCCTCTTAGAGCTTTTTTCGGAAAAAGGCGCTAAATTAGTTGATTTTGATCGTAACAGCTTTTTATTGATCAGAAAATTCTATAAAAATTCACAACAAGGGAAGTTTTTCACGTCAAAAAAGGGAAAAGTTGTAAATTAACTTAATTTTAGTTAGGTTAACTTGAACTTAAAATTAAAATTGCATTTCGTGAAAACTATTGATATTTTAATGTGAATAATACAAAAATAATTTTGATCGCACAAAGTTTGATTCACAAAAATTTAGCATTATTTTTTTTATAACTTCACTGTGAAGGAAACAATTACTTGACGATTACTTCAGTTTTTTTCACAAAGTTTTGGCTCTTGGTATTTTTGGAAATGAAGAGTTTAATTAAAATTTATTATGGGGAATTTCAAAAAATCTCTTTGACTAGTTATTGAAATCTTGATCGATGATAGCAATTAGCCATTGAATATTGAATTTAATAAACAAATTTTAGCTAAATACTATATTTTTTAAGACTATGTAATAATATAGTTTTAGCGCTTTTTAGTGCGTTTTGAGTGAATGGACGGCGCGTTTTAGTATAAAATAGTTGACAACACTGGTGTTGGAAAATAAACTAGAGAGCTCAATTGAGAGCTCGCTGCGCTTGTATGATATAAGTTGAAACGCGACAACTTACATGTTGCTGTCGATAATTTCGTCTTGAAAGAAGGTTCAATGACGACAAGTTAAAGACATTGTCTTATTTTATAATAAAAAGACGACAAATAGCATGCAGTAGTAGCTCATCTTGTCTTTAAAAATGCTTAATGTAAGACAAATTTAAGAAATTTTCTTTATTATGGCATCTATTAAACTCAAAACACGACAAATTTCACGACTGTGTTATTGAAAGTATGTATATATGTATGTATGTATGTATGTATGTATGTATGTATGTATGTATGTATGTATGTATGTATGTATGTATGTATGTATGTATGTATGTATGTATGTATGTATGTATGTATGTATGTATGTATGTACTTTATACGTGGCTAAACGGCTTGAAAGTTTTAATTAAAAAATTGGAATTAATTTGATTGTTTTAATTTAAATCTACTTTATGTACATACGTGTGAAAACAAAAGCAAGGGACCTCATTTGAGAGATCTTTGCGTTTTGCTGATATACATACATACATACATTAAATACGGGGTAATGACATCCCCTAATCCAAAAAATCCCTACAATTAATAAGGAACTGAACATTCACGCACCAAACGAGTTTGAATTTGTTGAACGTATTTGTTTTGATCATATCTTCAATACTTATATACCGATTTTGCTGGTCTTAAACAGGTAAACTCCTAAATTAATATCAAATAGAATCTAACATTTGGATTCTGGAGATATGGGAAATTCTCTTTTTAATTTAGATTTTGGGGTTAAAAAATGATGACATTTTTTAAAGCACATCAACGATATTTTGTGTGGACATTGTCTAATATCTTAGAAGTACAATTATCTTCTCGTGAATAATTTTTAGCAAAAGCCGCCAAAGTTATAGCGGTTTAAAGTTAATAGTTTAAAAGAATCCAAAATTACGTTTTTACCCGTAACTCGAAAAAAAACGTGGATATAATTCACAACGAAGTACCCAAAATACAAATTAATTTAAACCAAATATTTTAAATATTCGTGGATAAATTCGCTTTTTAAGAGTTTTTTTTTCAATCTCTTCAAAAAAAATTTTTTTTTATAAAACTAAGTACACACTTTTTTATAGCCTATTTAACATGATGTATTAATATATTAATTTACAATCATTAACTAAAAAATTATGCATTTATGTGTGATAGATTAAAAATGATGAGGTTTTAATTTATTTATGCATATGCTCGAATGCATTTTTTTAAAATTGCAATTATTCCAAAATGGTTGTATTTTTTCAAACGGATTATAGATTTTGCTATAGACCTCATTAACAGCAACCTAAAAGAATATAATTTTATCACTTTTATTACAAGTTTTTCTTAAAAGAAAAACACTGCGTTTTCTGCACAAGAGAAATTTGATGCAATTATTTTTGTGGTTAGCCAATAACTGCTTGTTTATAATTGTCTTCTGGTTCCATTTCTGAATTTAAATGAGTAAATAATATGAAAACCGTTAAAATGAAAATCTATATAAAGTTTGGAAATGAATTTAATACACATGACCGAACTTTTTTCAATGAATTTAATACAAAATCGTATCTTTTTCTAACGTCTTATCAATTTTGGTATAAGCATCATTGTCAGCTACCGATTAATGTTAAGTGTTACCAATTTTAATTAGCGGTTTAGGTGTGCTTCGTCGAATTATCTTGTAACTCAAGAAACACCGCGTTTTCGGCTAAAGAGAAATTTTGATGAAATACCTATTGTAGTTAGCATATGCCTACTTATCTACAATTAACTGCTTTTTTCATTTCTAAATTTTAATGAATAATTAATCCAAAAAACCGTTAAAATGAAATTTTGTAAAGAAATTATATATTTACATGAATGAACTTTTTTATAATTTTTTAATGCAAAAACGTACTTTTTTCAAACGGCTTATCGATTTTCGTATAAGCATCATTGTCAGCTATCGGTTGATGTATAATGTCCACAATTTAAATTAGCGTCTTAGGTGTGCTTCATCGATTTATGTTGTGAAAGAAACCCCGCGTATTCAGTCCACGAAAGGCCTTGATTAAATTTTTTGGATGCAAACCAATTCTTTCTATATAAAGATTGATTACTGATAAAATTCAGAATTTAAATTTTTTTATAATGCGGAAATTCGCTAAGGTAAAAAATGAAAAATTCGCAATTTTTTTGTATTCGCTCTAACATCTTTTCATGTTAATTTTTCATCGCGGCTTTAAGATTTCAACATGTAAAATTTAAAAGTATTTCGATCACGCGATATTTTGGGTATATTGAAGTAACGCTGTTAGTGTGCTTCGCGAAAAAGCCCTTTTTCGAAACTTTCACGTTTGTTTTTCCAATATTTAAGATTCTCCCGCAGAGATACCTTCTAGAGTACATTTTGGAGATATATATCAAACGACGCGTAATTACTATGTCTACTTTTTTTTATTTATACATTTTGCATAACTTAAGAACCGCAAATATTCTATCCAAAAAACTGCAAATTTTGTAAAATTGTATAAATTTGGTTTCAAAACATTGCGACCACGTAATTCTTTACTTATAAATCGCACAACAATTAAATATGGACTACAGTCATTCAATAAGTGTATACAGCTTACATTAGCAAAATTGACTATCTTAGTTGTAAGCCGCCCTCATAATATTAAAAAGTTGTAAAAAAACTACTTGGTTTCAATCACATTTTTGAGAAATTTTAACTTTGAGTGTTTATTTCTCCAACATGGAACTACTCTCGACCACAAAATTTTATGGACGTTTTCTTTCAAGTCTTGTGAATAAAAATTCGTCATCACTTAATTTTCAAAATATTAAACGAAAGAAATATTTAATGCATAAAGTTGATTTCTTAAAATCTAAAACAAAAAAAGAATTCCCATGTACATATATGGGGCCTCCAAAAAACTGATTTTGATAAACAGACGGACAGACATTTAGTGCGTGAACTTTTTTAACAATCACGGAAAAGTAGTATCGCTGTTTATCATATTTTTGAAGGCTCTATTCGACTTTGCTATGTCAACGGAATATCACTTTTAATTGTGTAGTGTGTAATTCGTTTTGAACTTTTTTAAATTTTAATTGTACTTTGAATATTATTATAAATGTAATTTGTTTATTTAAGCAATTATAAAAAAAAATATTTAAATATTAAAAATGTTTATGTAGATTTAATCGGGAATCATGCAGCAATGCCTCCTTTACGCTCTCATATTTCTTTTGGGATCCTTCATGTGTTAAAGTCAAACGTTGCTGTACCATACGTTTGTTTAACCCAATTTCCTTTGCTTCAGTTACAAGTTGTTCGTAGTCATAATTATTAAATTGATTTTCAAATTTATTCAAAAATCTTTGCAATGATTTCGACTCTGTTGTAAGCTGAAAAAATGTACACATTTTTTATATGCAAATAGAATACATATTTTTAAAACTTACACTTACATCTTCATACTGCCGTTGTAAATCATTGAGAAGACCAACAAAACGAGATTTTAAATCAAAAAGACAGGCATTGTAGGCAGCCCACGATTCTTCGTAAGTGAGTTTACGATTTTTATAAGGTACTAAATAGGGAGCAAGAAAGTCCGCTGGTTTAAGCTTTCAGTTCACTTTGATAAACTTCTTCATCTGCATACTGAAAACAAATTTATAATATATACATTAGTGCTATAACTTTTACAAAACTTTAATACACAACAACAAAAATGATTTCAAGGCCTAATTAATCCAGACTTATCATATGGTAAATACAAAAAGGTAATTAAATAGTAGACAGAAGACAAGTTAAAGGGCGGGGAGTGTGGAAGTGTTTGAGAAAGAAGAAGAAGAAAAGAAGAAGGAAGAATAAGAATAAGAAGAAGAAGAGAGAAGAAGAAGAAGAAGAAGAAGAAGAAGAAGAAGAAGAATAAGAAGAAGAAGAGAAGAAGAAGAAGAAGAAGAAGAAGAAGAACAAGAAGAAGAACAAGAATAAGAAGAAGAAGAAGAAGAGAAGAAGAAGAAGAAGAAGAAAAAGAAGAAGAAGAGAAGAAGAAGAAAATAAGAAAAGAACAATAAGAATAGAAGAAGAAGAAAAGAAGAAAGAAATAATAAGAAGAAGAATAAGAAGAAGAAGAATAAAGAAGAAGAAGAAGAATAAGAAGAAGAATAAGAATAATAAAGAATAATAATAATAAGAAAATAATTAAGACTAAGACAATAAAATAATAAAAGAATAATAATAATAATAATATAATAAATAATAATAATAATAATAATAATAATAATAATAATCATCAAAAAATTATAATTCAACAGTAGTTATGTACATAACAGCTACTGTTTATAAATTCACCAAAACAGTTTTCCTGAATTTAGATACTGAGTCACAAAATTTTCCATAGTCTTGAGACACGAGTACAAATAATCTGTTCATTAACTGTGTAAAATTTCTTGGAATAATTATAGAACTAGTTTCTCGAAGATTCCCAAAATTAAATCTGCTCATAAGGTAAGAAGGATGCCCATATTTCAGAATCTCGTAAAATTATAGGAACAATCTTAAGTCTATAAAACTTTTAAAATCACAATGTAAAATATCAACGGTAAACGAAGTCATCTAGTTATCGATCCATCCATCCATCCATCCATCCATCCATCCCATCCAATCCATCTATCTATCTATCTATCAGCGATCACAGCTAGCAGCGAGCGACGAGCGATATCGGAGCTAAGCGAGCTAGCATCAGCGAGAGAGGAGCGACGAGCGAGCAGCTAGCGAGCCTAGCGAGTATCGATCTACGATCAGCTAGCGGACGATCTACGAGCACGAGCAGCGAGCGATCTATCATCGAGCGAGGAGCGAGCGACGAGCGAGAGCGAGCGAGCGAGCGAGCGAGCGAGGAGCGAGCGAGCGAGCGAGCGAGCGAGCGAGCGAGCGAGCGAGCGAGGAGCGAGCGAGCGAGCGAGAGGCGAGCGAGCGAGCGAGCGAGCGAGCGAGCGAGAGAGCGAGCGAGCGAGCGAGCGAGCGAGCGAGCGAGCGAGCGAGCGAGCGAGCGAGCGAGCGAGCGAGCGAGCGAGCGAGCGAGCGAGCGAGCGAGGAGCGAGCGAGCGAGCGAGCGAGCGAGCGAGCGAGCGAGCGAGCGAGCGAGAGAGCGAGCGAGCGAGCGAGCGAGCGAGCGAGCGAGCGAGCGAGCGGGCGAGCGAGCGAGCGAGCGAGCGAGCGAGCGAGCGAGCGAGCGAGCGAGAGCGAGCGAGCGAGCGAGCGAGCGAGCGAGAGGGCGAGCGAGCGAGCGAGCGAGCGAGCGAGCGAGAGAGCGAGCAGCGAGCGAGCGAGCGAGCTAGCGAGCGAGCGAGCGAGCGAGCGAGCGAGCGAGCTAGCGAGCGAGCGATCTATCTATCTATCTATCTATCTATCTATCTATCTATCTATCTATCTATCTATCTATCTATCATCTATCTATCTATCTATCTATCTATCTATCTATCTATCTATCTATCTATCTATCTATCATCTATCTATCTATCTATCTATCTATCTATCTATCTATCTATATCATTTCAAGTCCCACGCCCACATACCAAATAAGTATTAACCGTCTTGTCTATTCCCGAGCAAAATTACGTACATCAATATCCAACATACCGGGTATGTCATACAAATTTTATGGCGGTTTCATCTTTTTTTACATTTCCGGTGTACAGTCTTTTCCTATTAACAAATTATATTATGCAAAAAATCTTAAGAAAAATCCCAAAATATGAACATTATGCAGAATTTGACTTTGTAAAATTTTGACTTCAAAAAGCTATTACTTTTTTTATAAACAATTTATGAACAATGACATATCACTCCTTATTTTAAACAAAATTTGTTGTTTAGTTAAATTTTTTTCATAAGATTCAAGAATATATATAATTCAAATAATAAAACTCAAAATTTATAATGAAACTTAATTTTTGTCCGATAACTGACATATTATTTTTATGAATACACTGGTATGTATGTTGGGTATTGATGTACGAGATAAAAGTAGAAAATATTAAAAATATATATCGAACTATTTATAGAAAACACTACTCTGAAGGAATATCCCAAATTTCATGACGATACGATATGTAGATCTCGAGATATATCACTTTGTAAATGAAAAACATATATAACATTGACATAACGGTTAAAAGTCGTATGTATAGACAACTTTGACAACCACATGAACGTACAAAATAGGCGGGCTACCTATATCGTAAACGTGAAACCTCCCATATAAAGAAAACCTTAAGTTAGTATTTCTGAGGAATTATAACAGCAAAAAGATTAGCGGACTAGCAATAGGGTCGTTGCACCTCCCATATGAATTAAATACAAAATTTTGTTTATCTCTGAATCTATTAGATCTAGAATTCTAATTTGCACGAATAACCTTGAAATTCATGGGAATATTTGAATTAAATGAAAAATTCCTTTATCTGGGAAACTATTAGATCTAGAATCGTCAAAATTTGCACGAATAAACTTCACATTCATGTGTAAAAAACAAATTGGCGGACTAGCAATAGGGGCCGTAGTACCTCCCATATGAATTAAATACAAAATTTCGTTTATCTCTGAAGCTATTAGATCTAAAATTCTAAAATTTTGTACGAATAACCTTGAAATGTATCTGAATGTTTGATTTAAATGAAAATTCCTTTATCTGGGAAACTTTAGAGTTAGAATCTTCAAACTTTACAAAAAAATTTAACATAAAAGTGAACATTTTGGGGGTTAAAATGGGCGGACATTCAAAAGGGGGTCTTGGAACCTCTCATATGGTTTAAATACAAAAATTCCTATATATGAGAAACTATTAGAACTAAATTCTTAAATTTTCCAAAAAGGAAATTTAACATAAAAGTGAACATTTGGGAGTAAAATTGGCACTCATTCTTGAGAAAGTCTCGAAACCTTTCATATGAATTAAATACAAAAATTCGTACATCTTACAAACTATTAAAGCTAAAATCTTCAAATTTTGCGCGCACAACTCTAACATCTATGTGAACATTTGGGTAATAAATTGCAGGACAACCGTTAGACCTCCTATATGAATCTGGGAAAATATTAGATCTATAATCCTCAAATTTTGCAGAAAGAACTTTGATATTCATGTAAGGTACCATACCCTATTTCAGTCTATCAATAGGAGGTATGGTACCTCCCATATGAATTAAATTAAATATTCGTATAACTGGGAAACTAATATAGCTAGAATCTTCATAAATCGTAAAGTGGTGTTTCTATTTACACACTGTTTGGACTTTATAGACAGCTAAACGGATAGTCCGATATTTCTGAAAATTTGACAGTGTCTTCCTGTATGTCTGGAAGGAATCATAGGCTACATTTCTTCAAAATTTCAAATGGGCGACGTGTCACGCCCACTTAAAAAATTTTGTATGGACAACTTTAACATCCATATAAATACATGGGAATAAAATTGACAGTCTAGCTACAGTGGGCGTGGCACCTTCTATAAAAAGAAAATCTTAAATGGGAATATCTGAGAAAATCTAACAGGTAGAGTTCTCATTTTTTTCGGAGGCATTTTAGTATTAATATGAATGTTTAGGATAGAAAATGGGTGGACTAGCAATAGGGGTCGTGGCACCTCCCATATGAATTAAATATTAAAATTTTACCAAAATTTTGCACAAAGACCTTTAAAATCCATATGAATATTTAGGAGAAGAAGGTCTTGGTACCCATACGGATTGAATATAAGAATTCGTATATCTGAGAAATTATTAGAGCTGAAATTTTCAAATTTTATACGAATATTTGGGTAATAAATTGGTGGACTAGATTTTACGGGACGTGGTGCCTCCCATAAGCGCACTTTTATTAGGAATATGAATTAAGTACAAAAATTCGTGTATCTGGGAAACTATTAAAGCTAGAAACCTCAATTTTGCACGAAGAACTTTAGCATCCATGTAAACATTTTGTGTAATAAATTGGCGGACTACCAATGGGTGGCGTTGCTCCACCCATATGAATAAAATATACAAAAATTCGTTTATCTTGGAAACTAATAAATTGGCGGACTAGCAAATTGGAACCTCCCATATGAATTAAATAAAAAATTCGAATGTCTGAGAAACTATTAGAGCTAGAAAATTTTACATGAAAAACTTTGACATTTACGTGAACATTTAGAGAGAAATGGGCGGACTTTCAATGAAACTTTGACATCTCCCATATGAATTAAATACAAAATTTCTTACGCAAAAATTTGCATCATTTGATCACATCCACCCAGTGTTGCCATTTTAGGACTTTCAGTGCTAGTATTAGCATTTTGCATCCTGAAAATGCATTGAAGTTTTTTAAAATTATGCTAAATGCTTCTTAGCATAATTTGCTTGATAAAAAATATTTATATGTTTTCTATTAAAAATATTATTGAAAATCAGTGGTTGTATATTACAAAACAACATTATGGTGAACAAGTAAGAGTGTTATATTCGGCTGTGCCGAATCTTTTATACCTACTATCAAATCATGTGTCTTAAAGTTCAAGTGAATTTCGGAAATTGGACCTATACTATATAAATCGATACTTTTGCTACCACAATTTAATCATTTATTGGATTTATTCTAAACTGTTTTATCATATA